GGAAAAAAAAAAAAAAAAAAAAATGCATGACATTGAAAAAAAAAAAAAACTCACCAAAACACTAAACTCTAAAATTTGACAATATCTTTAGCAACTCTGTACATTATTAGTTACTTCGATGTCACAAATGGCTAACAAATGGCTTCTGCTTGTGGATAGAGAAAAACTGCTCTAATTGATGTTTTAGATGCTAACTAAAATCCATTGTTTTCCAAATATGCGATGTATTTTCCCTTATCCTAAAAATCTCATTTGACAATTGTACATGGACTCCTATCTGAAACTATAAAATGGTTGGATCTTATTAAATTTAATTGTATGCCTGATTAAAATCATGCCTAGCTTAGCATTAGAGGCACTTTTGGTGAGAAGACAACATAAGCTGAGAGGGCTTGAATTGTCAAAATAATGTAAAGATTGAGTGCCGTTTATAATATTATCCTTATATAGATGTATGCTTTATTGTCCAAAAGTGACAGGAGGATACTGCTATTACTATGACTACTGCTGCTGTTACTATTGCTACTCCTATTACTACTACCAGATGACACTTATTGGGTACTTACTAGATACTGACATTCTTCTGAGCAACTTTGCATATATTAACTTAGTCAATACTGAAACAGGTATCTATTATTCACCCCATTTTCAAATGAGTAAATACAGACACATAGGTCTATATTTACTAGATGGCACATAGGTGCCATCTCTTGCCTGTGACAGCTTGAGTCTGGATAGAGCATCAGAATCCTTTTCAACACAGAGATTTAATTAAGTCTCTGTCAAAAAGAGTAGTTTCATGAAGTAAAATCTATTTATTAATGCTGTTCTAATGATGCATTCCTTTTTCCTCAATGGGCTTTAAAATCAATGTCTTCATATCTGAAAAACTTAATCTTTGGGGTTCTTCCTGAACTTGCCCAATGAGAACATTTTGAGTCTTTGAGTGTCAAGGAGGCAACAGAAATACAGAAACAAAGTGCCTAAAACAGTGACTATCAGAAGATAGTGCAAACCAATTGTCAAAATAATCAAAAGATGGTGCTTTTTTATATACAGTTAATATAAATCTGTTTCTTAGTCTTGGATTTTCTTCTGTTTTATATGTCATATCTTTCTACATACTCTCCTTGAACAAAGCAATATGATTTAATCTGCCTCTGGTGCTGAAACACCCTCAAGTTCTTAGAAAAACTGAAGAGCAGATTGGGAAATATATTTAAGTAGTTTCCATGCAATTGCTATATAATTTTCATGACTCTTATGTCTTTTTACCTGATTAAGAATATCCAGTAAGTCTATATTTTTAATATAAGACTGTTAAGAAAAAAGTTAAAAATGATCTATTAGAAATCTAGTAAAAGACACCTTTTATTACAATGTACATTTTTTTTTTTTAATTTTGGCCTCACCTTACAGCTTGAGGAATCTCAGTTCCCTGACCAGGGACTGAACCCGGGCCACAGCGGAAGATCCCACATGCCGCAGAGCAGCTGGCCCCGTGTGCCACAGCTGCTGAGCCTGCGCTCTAGAGCCTGCAAGCCACAACTGCTGAAGCTCGCATGCCTGGAGCCCATGCTATGCAACAAGAGAAGCCACTGCAATGAGAAGCCCGTGTACCACAGCGAAGAGTAACCCCCAGCTTGCTGCAACTAGAGAAAGCCCACATACAGCAACAAAGACCCAACTCAGCCAAAAATAAATAAATAAAGCCAAAAAAAAAAAGTAAAGGGAAAAATGCTTTACATTTGTACAAAAAGTTTTAATTAGCAAAATCCTATATACATATGCCAATTAAATGTTTTAAGAACTTTGACAGCCTGGTAAGAAATAATACCTTCCTATTTAATAAACAAACACAAGGGAAAGAAAAAGTGAAATACCTTAGGGTCACTCAGTGTAAAGAGATGGAATAAGGAACAAGATTTTATAGATTAGTTTTCTTTTTCTTTAGAAAATTCAAGGAAAAACTAATGAGCGTTAAAAAAGGTATGGCTTGGGCTTCCCTGGTGGCGCAGTGGTTGAGAGTCCGCCTGCCGGCCACAGCAGTGAGAGGCCCGCGTACCGCAAAAAAAAAAAACAAA